CCCAAACATCACGCCAGCCACTGCAGCCCTCAGCAGCCTGCCTGGTCTCCCTGCTCCAGCTTCTACATCAAGCCTGTTCCCACACAGTGGTCAGCCAGCCTTGTACATTGATCTCTCCATGGGCTCCCTGAGTAATAACCTCTGTCGCATTGCACCACCCTTAGAATCCTTCCCAGGGCTTCCAGAGCCGCAGGATCTGGCCTTTCCTTCCTGTGGAAGTGCATGCTCTGTTTCTCACCTTGGGGTTCACACTTGCTGCAGCCTCTGCCTGGAACTCTCCCAATCCTGGCTTCCACGGCATCCCCACAGAAATACTGTTCACCTGACCCTTCCTGTCTCTGTTGTTCTCTCTCCCAGCAAGTAGCTCATCTACTTTATAACTATAGATTGAGTTGTCTCTCTGTCTAGCTCCCTTCTGTTAACACACACACACACACACACACACACACACAGAGAAGCATAAGCTCCAAGGTAGCATCTTCTTAATCGTCATCCTCACCATCACTGTCACCGTGGCAATAGCTGCATTTTTTGGAAACCTTAGTTGTACCAAACACTAAACATTGTCTCCTGTAATTGTGAAAACAATTGTGTCAAGTAGATACAGTTATCTCCCCATTTTATTAATGAGGACACTACAGCACAGAAATGTTAGGCTGTTTGTCCAGAATCACGTGCCTAGCAATGGCAAGGGGCTGCCAAGGGGTGAAGGAGGAGGTAAGAAAGGAGAGTGGGTGACTAGGTAACGGGAACTGAATTTCCATGGGCGGGGGTGATGAAAGTGTGGAATGTTACAGTGGTGTTAGTATTACTTGCTTGCCATGTGACATTGCTAGTGCCGCTGAACTGTTTGCCTTAAAATGTCCATTTTAATACACGCTACAAGCAGTACTTCTGCCAGGCACCTGAAGGGCCCTCTGGTGTGCAGTGCTGGGGTTCTGCCATTGGGATTGTGGGGGCCCTTGATGGTCTGTAAGGTGAGGTCACTTAGGTCTCCTCTCAGCTGACCATCATCAGTCACCACAGCCTGTTGCTCTACCTGAGGTCTCCCCCCTCTGTGCCTTCACACCAGCACAAGCCTTGAGGCCTCTCTCCCAGAGCCTCCAGTTCCAGGGATTTCTGTTTGCCTTTTGCCTCAGGGTACCCATTAAGGACTTAACAATGGTCTTCTCTTTTCCACTCAGTACTTTCCCTTCTCACTGCTGCTGCCATCCTGGCAAGCACCAACAACACCACAAGGTCTGTGGATCCTTCCAGGGCAATCCCTGCACACAGTGAAAACGATGCATGCATGACATGATTTCCCCCATGAAGAGGAAATAAAAGGTAAATGCACGAATAGTTGAACAGTCCGATAAATGCTTGCGGGGCTCAGAGGATGATGGAGCGCCCGTTAAAGCCTGTGCATTTCATTAATCCATTCAGCAATCATGGAGTGAGCGTATATCACATGTCAGACATCAGGCTGGTGCGTGCAAGATGGTATCTGAGCAAGGTTAATGAGGGAATAGCATTTACATATCTAGCAGCTGAAGAGGCTACAGTACCTGGCTGGAGGTCCAGGCTCCTGATCCCCCTGGTCTAGTCCTGTGCTTGCAGCCCTTTGAAGTGAAGCAGAGGGGCAAAGATCATATTCTCTCTCTCTCTCTCTCTTTCTCTCTCCTCACCTCACTCCCCTCTCTGTCAGTGTCATTCTGCCTTTCAAATTGATAGGACATGAAGTTTGGACCTGCTTGGGCAGGTGAGCCATGCCATGTATTTAGTAAAACCTTAGCAGTTTGGAGAACATGTACAAACATCCCAATAGCCCTGGATAACCCAGTGCAAAAATCATTTTTTGAAAGCGCATTTTCTCCTCAGAGTTCAGGGCCTGCCTGTTTCCTTCCCTGGAGTTAGCTGGGAACCTGCCACTTCCAGCCCCCTGACCAATCTTCTTCCAGAGGTAATTACAATGGGGATTTGAAATTCAAAAGAAATCAGGGAGGCTGGGGATTGCTGATCTGAGGTGGTCTGAGGAGGCTTGTCTCAGGCCAGTGATGGGGCAGAGCCTACCTGGCTGTCATGCAGCATCTCCCTGAGAAGCCCTGCCTGGTTCCATGCTCACTGGGTCAAGAAACTGACCAGAGGCACAGGGTCTTTGACCCTGAAGGGTGTAGGTCCAGGGTTGGTGGTGGCTTTAAATCCCAGTCTCCAGGAGAAATTGAGAGCCGAGTATCCCTGTAGACATGAGTTGCACAATCGAGAAGGCTCTTGCTGATGCTAAAGCCCTTGTTGAAAGGTTGAGAGATCACGATGATGCAGCAGAGTGACTCACTGAGCAAACCACGGCCCTCAATGAAGCAGTATCAGGAAGAAATTCAAGAGCTGAGTGAAATTGCAAGACATCCGCCCGCTCCACATTAGTAATGGGAATCCAGCAGGAATACAGACAAATCAGAGAACTGCAACAAGAGAACAAAGAATTGTGTACATCTTCGGAAGAACATCAGTCTGCCTTGGATCTTATCATGAACAAGAATCGAGAACAAATGTTTAGGTTGCTAATAGCTAGCTTAAAAGGTGATCCAGGAATAATATGGTAGTTAAACGAACAGCACTCCAAGACTGACTTGCCACATTGTAACAGCTGCAAAGGAGTCTTCCTTGATGCATCTCTGCACACCCTTGAAGATCCTCAGCGTGGACTGGAGAGGAGGCACGGGGAAGCAAATCAAAATGAGATACAAGCACAGGTGGACCAGATAACTGAAGAGGCCGTGGTGATGAGGAAAGCTATTGAGACTGACGAGCAACAGGGCTGCAAAGAACAGGAACGGATACTTCAACTTGAACAAGTTGAGTCAAAGACAAGAGGACAGAGACAGCACAGGACAACACAACACACTTTCCGATCGGTCTTACCTCCCCCTGCTAGGGTGTTGCTTGCCGATGACGCTCGCTCACTTCCCGGCCAATGCACCAAAAATGTTAGACTCGGGGAGAGCCCAACCCTTAAGAAGGGAGCCGCACCGTTCGGCAAGACAAGTCACAATGCAGAGGCTGCAAAAAGCATGAGGATTTTATTGAGCATTCGCGAATGGGCGACAGAGTCTCTGGAGGCACCCAGGACTCTGCGCGCCTCACAAGCATTTTGGAACAGTTTTTATAGGGCAAAATCACAAACTCTGCATAACAGTCAGCATTTCTCACTTTCAGATTAGATAGCCCGGGGGTCCCTTAACTTTGTATATTTTTTCAACTGTTGACAGTCTGCATTCCTTGTCTTAGGACTAGGTGACCCGGTACTTTCTCAAACTTCTTATCTCTCTGTAACTGTCTCACTTTCTTACATTCCTGCAACTGCCTTGCTTCCTTATCTTCTTTATTCCTGCAGCTGCCTTGTTCATGTCTGGGAAACTGAAACTTTACTTGTTTCATGAAATGACTTCTCTATACTTATTCTAACATGGCTCCACTCTTGCTCAGCAGAAAGCAATATACAGAAGCAAAATCAAGCGGTTATTCTAAACTCTCACAGCCTAAGAGAGATCCTTCAAGTAACTCGGAATCATTTTTGAAACTGAGGAAAGATGACCCATCAGAAACTACATCGCTGTCAGCATTGGTGTCCAACAGTGACCTGAGTCTGAGGAAGAGCTGAAGTGCCCCCGGATTGCCAGGACCTAACTATGCAGGCGTGAACCACTGAGCAGACCCCTTTGTCTACAACATGCTCAGTACATAGGCTGAGAGAGAGCAACCAAGACTGCATTTATGGTCACGACTTCATCAAGAACCCAACTGAGGAGTAAGAACTGAGCCTGTGACCTGAAGGGGGCAGGTTCCCCAACTGCTGAGCGCGTCAGCACCTTTCCACATTGCTTTCTGGATGCACTTCGATAAACCTGAATACTCCCTGGGAGTGGGAGTCCACAGAATTGTCCCCATGGAAAATAGACATACTTCTGCCGTAGTTCTAAAGATCTGTAAGATCCTCTTCCTGAAGTTTACCTTCCTGTATGGTGTCAAAAGCTAAACAGCTTATCAACTATGAGACTTCAGCTTTAACTATTGTCTGTTTCCCCATTGACTTTATTTTTTGTTAAAGCAAATCCAATTTTAAAGGATGTAGGAATGTTTTACATGCACCTTAAGAGGTGATTTAATTTGTCCTGATATTCACCTAACTATTGTCCCTGATTTACCTAAGTGTATGAAATAGCATTTCAGGAATGAAAGAGAGGAAATACTACTTTCTAAGAAAGAAGATCATATAATTAACATTTAGTAGGTTAATCTACTCCTTGCAAAGAATAAGTTTTGGTTCTAAGTCCGCAACTAAGATGAGATTTTTCCCTGGCTGATCTCAGAGGAGATTATATAATCCACTTAGCCAATCGAGTTGTATGAGGAGCTGACAATACAGTCATTTCACTTAATTGAAACTTCCTCTGGATTATAGCACCCTTTCTTCAAAAGTAATTACTCTGGAGATACAGAAAATCAAAATTCTGGATTAATTTTTAAGTTCTCCCTGATCTTTGGACCAGTAAGAGTTTTCTTAAAGCATTTTAGTTGACAGGGGAGGAAATATGGATTCAGAAATGTTTTTATTTATTTCTTTATTTTTTGGTAAAGTGGCAAATACAAAGCACATAAGTTTTAAAAAAAATTTTATTTATTTTTATTGCAAAGTCAGATATACATAGAGGAGGAGAGAGAGGAAGATCTTCCGTCTGATGACTCACTCCCCAAGTGGCCACAACGGCCAGTGCTGCGCCGATCTGAACTCAGCAGCCAGAAACTTCTTCCATGTCTTCCACGTAGGTTCAGGATCCCAAGGTGTGTGGGGCGTGTGTGCACGTGTGTGCGTGTCCGGGGGCGGGGCCGCGGAGGGGCGGGCCTCTGTGGGCGGGGCCTGGGCGGGGCGCGTGCGCAGCCGGGGGAAGAGACGCCTCCTGGCGGGAGCTGGCAGCTGTGGGAGCAGCGAGGGCGGAGAGCAGCGGGCGCCGGGGAGGACTGCGGGCCGGCCGGTCTCTCCAAGGTGGCCGAGGCTCGCGGGCGCTGCGCGGAGGGCACGGCGGGCGGCGCGGCCGGGCTCCGCTCCTAGAGCCGCTGCGGCGCAGCCCGGGCTCGGGGCACGGTGAGCGGGAGCGGGCCGCGGGGTGTGTGTGTGTGTGGAGGGTCGGGGCGACCTCGGGCCGCGGCCTGGGCCCCGGCTGCTCGGCGCTCCGGCGGCATCCCGCGCCGCCCTCGGTGCAGGCCGGCGCGGGGAGGCCCCGGGCCCGGCCCTCACCCTGCGGCAGGGCCGAGGGGTCCCGGAGCTCCGGCTCGGCGGGCCCCCGGCCGGGGAGCACGATTCCCGGGGGCCGCGGGCGCTGTCAGGGCCGTCGCCCCGCGGAGGCTGCGTGCGGGACAGACAGCGCGGACGCGTTGTTGTCGGGGCGGCCTCGGGAAACGCGAGCGGCGCTTTCCAGAGCCGTTTCCTGGTTCGCGCTCGGCTGCTGCGGAGCCCGGTGGGTTTGCCCGGTGGGTTTGCCCGGCGCTTCCCGAGGACGGCCTGGGGTCGCCGCCTGCCCGGCTGCGGGATGGGCACAGCTCTGGACCTCGAGCGTGTGTGCCGGCGGCCCCGGGGATCAGCCCGCTGTGTGCGGGGTTCAGCGAGGAGCTGGACGTGCTAGCGGTGTGGAGGCGAGTGCTTGAGGGCCTGGGTCCCGGTCGACCGACTCAAGCTCTTCCAAACCCTTTATTCTTCACCTTCTCCTTGTCTTGCCTTTGGGTGCCTCGTGGGACCTTAGAAAGAGCTGGGAATACTCATGGAGCGCCCACAAGCCACACTTTTAGCTGTTACATAACTAATGATTTATTTTGTTTGATTACGTTTTGGGGGCGTTTTAACACCAAGGCATTTTATCTTTTTTTTTTTTTTATTGTTGCTTACACTGTATTATGAAAGTATCATTTTTATAGAGCGACTGGGGATCCCCCCCACCCCTCCATACCCTCCTCCATGGGGATTCTCCACCTTGCGCATAACCATAGTCTAGTTCAGTGAATTCATTGCTCGCAAACACAGCCTAGCATAAAGTTCAGGGTCTATTGTCCAGATAAAGTTCAGTGCCTCACTGGGACAGACCTGTCCATGTTTCTAAGTAGGTCGTAACAGAGTAAAGATCCGTCGGTTTATAAGCCTCAACAAGGCCTCAGTATCTATATTCAACAGTATGGAATTATTGACATTGTATTGGGTAAACAATATGTTAAAATAATGCAAGTTCCATTCTTCGAAACATCTGGGTTGAGACGCATCAATGCACTTCAAAAAATAACAACAACCAAACAATTAATTACAGGTAAATCAAGCAAACATTGGTAATCTAATCTTTGGGATCCTCATTCCTAGCATTATATTTTTCCAGTTGTGCCCATTAGCACAAAGAACTGCATTTTGTTTTTTAATAGCTGAGTAGTATTCCATGGAGTAATGAACCTAAAGCTTTTCTATCCAATCTTCTATTGATGGGCATTTCATTGCTTCCATGTTTTTGCAATTACTGATTGTGCTGCAATGAACATAGGGATGCATGTTGTTTGGTCGTAACACAGTGTTTTGGATAATTCCTAGAGTGCTATTGCTGGGCATATGGCAATCAGATACCGAGTTGTTTGAGGTTCTCCAGACTGTTTTCCCCATATAGGCTGTACCAATTTCACTCCACCAGCAGTGGAGTAAGGTTCCCTTTTCCCCCGCATCCTAACCACAAGCGTCGTTGGTGTTTTCTTGATTAGGTGGGCCAATCTTACTGTGTAGTGGTACCTCATCGAATGTTTTATTTTGGATATCCCTTATTGCCTAGGAGCGGAACATTTTTTCATATGTTTTGTTTGCCTCTTGACTCGGTTCCTTTGTGAAATATTTTTATTCAACCTGTTGCCTGTTTAAGCCTCGTCAGAATTGTGCTGGCCTTCGCTGCCTCGTTCATTTTCCCCTGCATTATCTTCTGAGTCTGTGGTCCCAATAGAATGTGACAGTCTCCTTACATTTTAATAAATTACTCAGAGTCCTTACTGCGATTAATAATTTACTGTCCCTTTTGTTCCTGGTTCAATTATTTAAGGAATCTTGGCGAACTGTTGTCTCAGACAGGCTTTCTTCATGCTAATTATGGTTAGAGACAGAATGAGATAGTTATGAATAATCACTAGGACGGTTTCCATTTTCAAATTGTAAGAGCTGTGAACTCTTGTGACATGGTGATGCAGAATCAGTAGTTTTTACGGGGTCCTGACCTTGAACGGCTGCAAGGCACTGCTTCCGCTGATCAATTTTGACATGAACATGAGTTCTGGTCTGTGTTTAGGTGTTCGTTTTCTATTTCTTTCCTCTAGCTCGTGCCTTTGAATTAAAGTGCTTTTCTTCTTGTTTAGCTCCTTGGCGAGTTGCTGCTTGTCCGTGAGGCATCATGAAGGCGCCCTGTGTGGTCCTGCTCACCCTTGCCGTCCTGACGCTCCTGACGTGGCTCCCGGTGTCCCTGAGCTGTAACAAAGCACTCTGTGCTAGTGATGTGAGCAAGTGCCTCATCCAGGTACGGCGATGAGCATTCACGGTCGCACATGTCGCCGGGCAGTCTGAAGCATATTCCCTGTCCAGCAGCGGCGATAAGAATACACTGACTGATGGTCAATAGCAGAGGTTTATTCACAGCATCAGACTTTTCCAAGACAGGTATGACGTGTGCATCGGGGAGGGCGTTTGAGGAATTTACATTTCAACAGTAAGAGGCAGTCCCCTCATAGACAATTTGTTCATCTAGCAGATTCCTTTGCTCAGTCTGTGAATTCCTGTTCTCCTGCCTGGGGGAGGAAGTATCTCTCTTTGATCTAAACCTGAGGACTAGGGAGCTGGATCAGAAGCAGAGCAGGAGTGACCAGAACCTGGGCTCTGATGTGGGGTGTTGGCATTGTCGGCGGCAGTTTAGCACACTGTGCTTCCATGCTTGGTCCCAGATTGTTTCTCTGGTCACTGAAGTGAGGGAAAGCAGGGCAGTCACTTACGTGTGCACAAATGCAAGCCACCCTCAGGATCGACTTGTGACGTGACTTGTGATAGGCTGCGTCCGAGCACTGGGGAAGGAGCCAGCACCTCTGCTTTTGTATGTCGGGGTTGATAGTGTCTCTGTTCTGTCAGGTGCTGCAATGTAATGGTCAAGAACAGCCTCAGGGCCTTTAGTCCATAGGCCTGTCTGTATGCCAGAACCACATTATCTTGATTTCTGTAGCTTTGTAATGTGTTTTGAAATTAGGAAGTATAAATTGTCAGGTTTGTTCCTTTGCAAGATTATTTAGGCTGTACTAGAACCTTGGATTTCTGTGTGAATTGTAGCATTAGCATATCAATTTCTATAATCAAGGTGGTTAAGATTTTAACAAATATAATGAACTTTGCTTGTTAGAAAAGTTTCCAGTTTCCAGGAGAGTTGAGCAGAATACAGTCTTCCCGTGTCCCTCTGCCATGCGCTTCTGCGGGCTCCCCATTGTCAACATCTTGAGTTAGTGTGGTGTACTTGTTCCTGGGGGTGGGCCAGTGCTTATACACAGTTATCAGCTGAAATCCACAATTCATACGAGGTGCATGGTCTGTGTTGTGCCTTTCTGTGGGTTTTGAGAAATGCCTCATGTAATGTATCTGCCATCACACAATTCAGAATAGTTTTCACTCCCTAAAAATGGTAATTGTATGGAGGGAGGTGAAAATGGCACAAAGATGAAGATGCAGTGCTACAAAAGTTCCGGAAAGATATTACTTCCCTCCTACAGGAAACTTAGAATTCCCTTATATTGGCTTGGTTTAATCTGAACATCTGTAGTGTTGATATGGTGTATTATGAGGATAAATTAGAACATTTGTTTATATTGAACCCTCTGCACTCATGAAATCACTAAATATAACAGATTTTCCCTGGAAGCTCATAGTTATGTAAATATTTTTTCCTAGTGTGGTTTCGAGGCAGTGCAGTCATTCCTGCCACTCCTAAAGTTTGCTATACATGGGTAGTCCCTATATAAATATTTATTTTGTGCTTCTGACGGGAAATAAATCTACTTTTAAATATCAATAAAGTAAAATCATCATTTTGGTGTACCTCTTGCTCATATAATGAGTGTTTTCTCTATCCCATTTCAGGGGAAAATACTGGTGATACACCATTTTGCTTTTAAAAAGGTCTTTACCACTTTCTTTTGTTTTTGTAAAAAAAAATTGCTAAATATTTATGCTTAACTTTAATCATCTTCAAGGCCTTCTTTAGAATTTAATCATCAGGTCTGGTGTAAAGGCTCACCAGGCCTGATGATTAATTCCTCACCTTGCATCCCCCCGGGATTTCATATGGGCGCTGGTATGTGTCCCAGCTGCTCCACTTCCCATCCAGCTCCTTGCCTGTGGCCTGGGAATGCAGCTGAGGATGGCCCAAAGCCTTGGGACCCTGGACCCATGTGGGAGACCCTTAAGAAGCTCCTGGCTGCTGGCTTTGAATCAGCTCAGCTCTGGCCATTGTGGCTACTTGGGAAATAAACCAATGGACAGAAGATTTTTGTATCCCCTTCTCTTTGTAAATCTGACTTTCCAAGAACAATAAATCTTTAAAAAAGTATTTGTGTATTTACTTATTTGAGATGTAGACACAAGACAGACAGACATATGGACTCTGAGACCTCCCATCTATTGGAACTCAAGTCAGGTCTCCCATGCGAGCGACAGAACCCAGATCCTTGAGCCGGCCCCTGCTGCCTCCCAGGGTGCTGTTCACAAGCAGCTGGAAGTGGGAGCGGAGCCAGGACTGGATCCCAGGCATTCACATTCCCCTGGGAGATGGATGTTCCCAACCACAAGGCAGGTGCCTGCACCTCAACACAGAGGGCCCCATCATCACTTAGGACTGTTGAGGTGACCCCAGGGCTTTCTGAATTCCAATACACTAGAAAATTAACTCTTCTTCCTTTTCCTTAATCAGCACAATTCAGATTCCACATGAGCCTCCTGCCACTCTTACCTTGCTTTGTTACTGTACTGGTAATAGTTTGGATTACACTGTGTTTTTCTTCTGTGGACATTATTTTCTTGTATATATTTTTTCTTTTTTAGGCTACTTCCTCACTTTGAAAATCCCTAACCTATTTTGTCCAGATTTCCTTAATAACTGTGAGTTAGGTAGTTAGTTAGGCTTGAGATAATTTAAAGGAAAAATGAATCAATCCCCTCCGAATGATTAATGCAACTATACTAGCTGCTAAAACCAAGTGAAGGACCAATATCTGTTATAGTGTGTTCAGCAAATTAATGCCCATCATCGCTGTTTAGAACATGCACACATTTGCACCCAAGTCTCTGCTCATATGTGTGTAAAACACACACAGGGACACACACAGGGACATACTAAGCTGTCATTCCTTCTGAGGTAACAGCTCTCAGATGGCTGAGGTGGCATGCTTCTCAGCTCAGGGGCAGAAACTCAGGTTGTCTGCATTTCACCCGGCGCCCAGCCCTCTGTGGGACACAGGGAGGCAAGTGCATGGAGTGCATCCGACACACCCAGGTCCAAGCTCGGTGTGCTCCTCCTGAGCCCTTAACATCGAGCCACTGCCTGTACACACAGCCTGAGTCAAAGACACCTGGGGAAATGCGTCCTCCTGCCAAACTCGGACTGTCACTGCTTCTTCCTTCGTCTTCCATTTTTAAAAGATCTTCAAAAATCTTGATACATTTTTATCCTTAAACCAAAAAGGCAACAAGAAGCTTGGAGACAAGGAATGACACCAGACAAGGAAACTTACAAAGAATCACTTTAAAATGAGTAAAGCACAAGAACACACAGCACATACAAAATACATTTTTAAATGACACAACTCTAAATGAAAGATGCCTTTTTCACCAGCAATTTTCCACGTATGAAAAGCTTGATCTTCAACACTAAAGAGGGTACGAAGGAAAAAGAGACCGTCTCTTACGCCCTGGTACAAGGGCAAATGCACGCATGCAGAAAGTCAACTGAGCTCCCAGAAATGAATGTTCTCACTTAGCAGTTCCACTACTGGGACCTCATCCTTCCAGACACACAGAAGTGAGCAAAGTGGACAGGGAGACTTGGTGCAGCACCATTTAAACAGTCAAAATGCTTCACTATGTTACATCTTTAAATAAAACACCCAGAATCCTTTAAAAACAAAGCAAATAATAAAGAGGAAAGAGTAACAAAATCAAAGAGATCCACACCGAGACACCGTGAACAACTCAGGGACAAAGCATCTTGACAAGAGCCTGCAAGAAGCCACTCCTCACTTGCATCAACAGAAACAGAGACCTACCCGCCACCAGGGGGGCGGCAAGGGCAAAGGACTAAAAGAAACCAAGAATGCCTGTCTGGGAGGCTTCCTTCAAAATGATTTAAAAAAAAAAAAGATTTCATTTATTTTGATTGGAAAGGCAAAATGTACAGAGAGATGGAGAGACACAAAGATCTTCCATTCACTGGCTCAATTCCCAAACGGCCACAGCCGAGCCAGTCAGGGGCCAGGAGTGTCTTCTGGGTCTCCCACACAGGTGCAGAGTCCAAAGGCTTTGGGAATTCCTCCACCGTTTTCCCAGGACGTAAGCAGGGAGCTGGATGGGAAATAGAGCAGACAGGACATGAACCAGTACCCCGATCTGGAATACTGGGCTTGCAAGGGGAGGATTAGTCAATCGAGCCATCTTGGCAGGATGGCTTTCAAAAAAATCTTTAAAGGCATTCCCAGAAAAAGAGGCAGTAGTCATATCTGAAGAAATACTAAATGTGGGCCTGGCGCAGTGGCCTAACAGCTAAAGGATTCACCTTGAATGCGCCAGGATCCCATATGGGCACAGGTTCTAATCCCGGAGTGTAAGAGACGATCTCTTTTTCTGTTTCACTTCCCATCAAACTCCCTGCTTGTGGCCTGGGAAAGCAGTCGAAGATGGCCTAAAGCCTTGGGACCCTACACCATGTGGGAGACCTGGAAGAAGCTCCAGGTTCCTGGCTTCAGATTGGCTCAGCTCCAACCGTTGTGGCCACTTGGGAAGCGAATCATCATATGGAAGATATTCCTCTGTCTCTCCTCATCCCTGTATATCTGACTTTGTAATAAAAAATAAATAAATGTTAAAAAAAATACTAAGTGTAAGGTTGGGGTACAATAATAAGGGGAAATCAAAGGACAATGCACAGTAATTCAGAAAAGAAAGAACAGAAAAGACAGTGTAAATGCATTTTTTCTGTTTTTTAAAAGACTAATTACCTGAAAGATGAGTGATGGATAGATAGGGAACAGAGATAAAGAGATAGTGCCATTGCTAGTTCACTCCCCCAAATGGTCACAACAACCAGGGCTGGGCCAGAATAAAGCCAAATGCTAGGAACTCATCAGGGTTTCCTTTAGGAAGAGCAGGAATTCAAGCACTTGAGGCTTCATCTGCTGCCTTCTCAGGTGCTAGGCGGAACGGGAGTCTGCACTGCAGGTGTGGGGTAGCCAGGGCTTGAAACAGGTGCTTTGTTGTGTCATGAGGGCAGCAGCATCTTTCTCCTATATGGCTTAAATGACAACAGCTTAAAACAGCTATAAATGTGTGCTGAGGAACACAGAGATACACTATGAGACAGTAACAGCATAAAAACGGTAGCACTTTGTAGGAATAAAGCATTTCATGTTTTG